TCCTCGATCCCCATAGGATCTGGCAGGCGGCATCACACCTCCCTAAAACTCCTCCGAAACCCCCAAAGAGAAACTCCCATGAACTCCAACAGCTCTGAACAAAGCCCAGTGTTTCCAGTTGTGCTATCCACCTTTGGGTATTTTTGGAGGAGATGGGATGTCCTTAGGTGCTCCATAACCTTTACATGAATAGTTCCTTTTCTCTGCATAAGCACATTCTTAAAGGAGCGTTGGGCTTTCATTCTCCACTTACTCCAACCGTCGGACTTCTCTGTTCACTTGTTTAAATCAAGCATAAAGCTCTAACTGTTCTTTGAATATTTATGACTAGTTTTTATCTCATGCCATGCATACAAAACATACTTGATTTCTTTCCTAAAAGTTTTTTCAAGTGCGAAGTTTTAAAAACATGTGGCTTTTATTGCAGGCAGGAATGAATAACAGCATTCCACCCATAACCACATTAAATGGAACAGTAATATTCATATGCGTAAGGGCAAAAGCTGCCTTGTTTCCTATTTGCAGTTGAACTCTGAAATTAATTAAGGACTAAAAGGATCTGACAGTCATTAGGATCTTTTAAAAGGGAGTGGAAGTGGCAGATGGGACCCACGCTCCGAAAAGCGCGGCCGTGCTATCAATAGCAGGGAGGATGTGAGCCCTGAACATGCTCCTCGTTGTCGGGGCTGTTGTGGGGAGAGGAGGATCGCGGTCCCGGCCGACGAAGAACGGCACTTTCGTGACTCCACAACCGCAGGATTCACGTCAGTGGCACTCGTGCTCCTCTAAGTCACTTTGCAGCTTTTGAAAGCCCCGGCTGGTCCCGCCGCTGCCGCGGTTATTGGTGCTGCATCCCGAGCACAGGGCGCCCGTCAGGGGCTGGTGCTGGGGAATGGGGGGGTCCTGGATCCCCCTGGGAAACCATAAATCCCCTAATGGCAGCAGCATCACTCCTGATGCTCCACGGGGTGTGTGCACTTGGCTCTCTCTGGTCCGTGAGTGGCCAAGGATGCAGGTGTGGGCGTGCACACGTGTGGAGTGTCTCCCTGGGGATGCTGGTTGGTGTGAGGGCTGGCAACAAAACGTACTGATATATATAAAATGGGGACAACTGGGAGGACAGGTGAGCCCCAAGGCTGTATGGAGTGCCAACGGTGACTTCTGCAGCCATAGCCTTTTCTAGGCATTCAAATGACGAATAAAACCTGGCCCCAGGCAACCAGGTGGGAATCTCCAACTGATTTTCCCTGCTCACAGCATTTCATGCCAGGATCTGAAACTCTTGCTAAAGCCCTCCTCGTCCTCCTCCTCTTCCTCCTCCTCTTGCTGCCCCAAGCAAGGATCTTGGGCGCCAGGGCTGCATACACAGACAGTAAGGTGGGTAACCACAGCTCCCATGGGTTTAATGGGTGTCCCAGCTCAGGATCCAGTCTCAAGCTGCAGCTGTGCCCTTGGAAGTGGGTGCTGAGCAGGGCCCCCCACTGCAGGTATTGCCCGACCCTGGGGCACAGCAGCCTCCGAGCAGAGCCCAGTGCAGCCCTGCTGGAGTCGTCATCGGGCCGCTCTGGCAGCTGGTCCCTTGCCCAAGCAAAAGCTTCTCCTGATTTATGTCTGGGGCAGCCGCTGCCTTTTCTCCCCCCCACTTTCCCCTAATTTCTTCCCCTGGGCCCCGCAGCTTCCTCCCGCAGGAACCTCTGCCTCCAGCGCCCACAATTGCCCCGTGGGAGCCCGTTTTGGCAGCGGCACTCAGGGGTTAAAAATTGTCACCATCGTGCACCCCATTGGCCCCAGCATCTGTTGTTTGATTTATGAATGAATAGCACGCTCCCTCCCTGCATGCTGCTCTCAGATCCCCTTCCCTGAGCTACAAAATAGATCCAGACACCCGCATGGCCCTACTGAGTGCCGAGCTCCTGAGAGTTTGCGATGAATTTTTAATAGAAAGCTTCCTATAAGCCTCTGCACTCGCTGCTCTGCTGTCGAAACGAGTGGCTCTGCTGCTAAAGAGCAGCTCAAATGAATTAAAAACTACAGAGGAGCCTGTAAGGGGAGTAATCCCAGCGAGTAATGATTTAAAGAGCCGCTGACCTCCCTGCGATGTGAACAGTAGCTTTTAAGTATTTGTAAAGAGGCCCGTGCAAATCCCGGGTCTGATATTCTGTTAAACCTCCTCAGGAGTGCAGGGAGGGTGGTAGAGGAATAATCCCCACGTGTCGACACCTCCTGGTTTGTGGAGGGCCAGAGCAATGGGAGTTTTGCTGCCTGTTTGAGACTCTGAATCCTGCTGTGCTGGAAAAGGATAATTCAAATGAAAACTCATTCCTGTTCAGGCACGGTGCTGTGGGTCCCTGGAGCTCTGGGATGGCTTCTCTTGCATGAACATCTCCTGCAGAAGTAGCCACTGGGTTGCTTTGCTGGGCTTTGCATCTCCAGAGGTCTCCAGGCAGTTTGGGGTTGTGGGGAGCCTGGGTTGTCACTACTCTGTGGTTTGGGTCTCATATTGCTGCAAGTCAGCAGCTGGCTTTGTACCTATGTGCAGGGCCGTGCTGTGGGGTATGGGGGTGACTCTGCATCCCACCACCCTGAAGTCAAGAACAAGTCAGGGTGGGAGGTCAGAGGGTGGTGTAGAAAGTGGATTTTGGGGAAGGAGCAAGACATGGTACTCAGAACACCTGTGATTACATCTGTGAGTGACTCAGGGTCATTTGGATAGTGCTTTGAGGAATCAAGGTCTTTTATTCAGTGGCCCCTCCAACAGGTTGCTCCCAGTATAAAAAGGGATTAGACAAATTTTTGGATGGCAGGGCTGTGATACAGCCACTGGATAAAACAGTGAAGGCAGGGAATGACGAGCATCCTGCTCCAGGGAGGCAGCTCAGTCCTGCAGGGGCCCAGCCTAAAATCACTCCACGGCTCTTCGGGGACCGTGAGGTGACACCCACCCCCCGCAGCTCCCGGGACTGGGCGGTGACAGGTAACACCCCCAGGGCTGTGCAGAGCAGAGGTTGAGGAACTGCGGGGTCTGTTTAGCAGCGGGAAGGGGCAGGAGAGGCACCGGTGCGGGGGTGTCAGAACCCAGAGCTGTGCGGGGCGGGATGGAGAGTGTCAGCACCGCGGAGGGTGTCAGCACCCCGGAGGGGTCAGCATTCCGGGCCGGTGTGGGGGTGTCAGCGGACCGGGGGCTGTCAGCATCCTGCCCCATCCCATCCCATCCCGTCCCGTCCCTCCCCGTCCCGCCCCGTCGCGGAGCCCCGGCGCCAACCAGCGGCCCCGCCGCCGCACTGCAGCGCTGCCCCGCACGCTCCCTGTGCCCCCCCGACCCGCTCATCCCTCCGTACCCCCCACATCGGGGGCACAGAGGGGGCACCGGGATGGGACGTGCCCGAGCCCCGGCAAACCCCGGCCCCGCCCGCAGCTCTGCCCCCCGCTCCCGGGTTTCTGCGGGTCACCCCGCGCTGCTGAACGGGGGGCGAAAAATAGAACTAAACTTTCACCTAAAAAGGGCAGACTTGGAGCGCCGGTAACGGCGGGGGACGGCCCGACACGCGGGGCTGGCTGGGCTCGGAGCTGTGCCCGGCGGCGGTTCGACGGCCCCGGTTCGCCCGGCGCGGATCGCGGGGGTGTCCCGGTGTAACGGGGCGCTGAGACGCGGGAACCGCCTCTCCTCATAATGAAAAAAAAAATATATATATACATATTATATTTTTTTTTCTTCTTCTTCTTTTGGAGAAACACCGGTTTTTTCTGGGTCTTGCGCAGCCCGGTCTGGGCTCGCTCCTCCGGGCACCGCGGCTTGCGGGGGAAAACGGTTCATTACTTCGTGGAGGGAGTTCTGGAAAAAGAGGGTGTTTTTTGGTGTTGGGGTTTATTTTGGTTTGTTTTTAAGGAGATTTGCGTTTTGCACCGTGCAGCGCGGAGCCGGGAACGCTGCGGCCCGGCCGGCTCCGCTCTCGACGGGCCGTCCCGGTGCCCAAACAGCATCAGGCTGAGCTCAACCCCGGGGAACAGCCGGGCAGGACGGGCAGAGGAACCTCCACCTCCGCCCCGGTGGTTCGGGCAGCCGCCTTCGTTGTGTTCCCGCAGCACCGGTGGCTTCGCCGCGAATTTTCTCGCCAACGATTCCGGCCGGAGCCGCCGGCCCTGCCCGCAGCCGCAGCCCCGGGGGAGCCGCCGCGGGCGCTGCGGGCGCCGCGGGACTGCCGGGGATCGAGGCGGCTCTCAATTTTGGGGAGTACGACGGGCGGAGGTCGGGCAGCCGCGGTTTTCAGAGCAGGCCATGGGGTGAACCTCCTCCGGCGGTGGTCCCCGGCGGTCCCCGGCGGCTCCCCCCGTCCCGCCACGGCCGAGCCCACGCGGGGGCCGCGGGAGCGCTGGGGGGCCGGGGGACGTGCTCGATCTGCAGCCGCTCTGCGCTGCCGCGGCTGCGGCCCCAAACCGGCCCCACCGCACCCCAAAACCTGCCCCGGCGGCCGCCAGACCCCACCGGGGCCCCGACGTGCGGGGGTGTGTCCTCCCCGAGCCCACGCCTCTTTTCATGGAGGCCACGCCTCCTTTCAGTATTAACCACTCCCCTTTCGTGGTGACCACGCCCCTATCCCCGCGGGAGTTTTGCGATGGGCGGGGCCAGGGGTCTCCCGCCGGCTCCCCATTGGCGGGCCGCCCCGTCAATCAGGGCGCGTCCCGCCCTCCCGCGGCGCCGGCAGTAAATACGGTACCGGGCGGCGCGGCGGCAACTTGGGAGCGGGGTGCGGGACGAGGCTGTGCCGGGGCTCCGGGCGGGACCCACCGCAACCAACCCACCGGGGACGAGCCCCGGCGCCGCGCGGGAGCCGACAGAGCCCGCACCGCTCTCCCCCTCCGCCGAGGACGGCGGTGTGCCGGCACGGAGCGAGGCAACGCGGGGCTCTGCCGCCGCTGCCCCCGCCGCTGCCCCGCCGCAGCCGGACTCCTCCTCGTCGTCCCCCCCGGGCCGCGGCGGCTCCCTGACGCCCGCCGTTGTGATGCGTATTCCCGTAGACCCGAGCACCAGCAGGCGCTTCACACCCCCCTCCACGGCCTTCCCCTGCGGCAAGATGGGAGAGAACAGCGGGGCGCTGGGGGCCCCCGCGCCGGGCGCCCGCGCTCGGCCCGAGGTCCGCTCCGTCGTGGATGTACTGGCCGACCACGCCGGAGAGCTGGTGCGCACCGACAGCCCCAACTTCTTGTGCTCCGTCCTGCCGTCCCACTGGAGGTGCAACAAGACGCTGCCCGTCGCCTTCAAGGTGAGTCGGGGGGCTCCGACGGCTCGCGACCCGCTCGCCCCTTTTCCCTCCCGCTCCCTTTCGCTTAAAAATCGCTCCTGACATCACCGCCGAGGGAGCGCGGGTTATTATTTTTAATCAAATAGCCCGGTTTATTATTTTTAATCAAGTCTCCGCATTGCCCCGCGGTCACAGCATCTTAGATATTCCGTACAGTTAGGAGCTCTCAGGCAACTTTGAAGTTTAATGAGACGGAGGTTAATTACTTTCCTGGGAGAGGGAGAGCGAGGCAGGAAAGGGAGATCTAATCTACCAAAAAAAAAAAAAAGTCAAGCGAAGAGCCGAAGCCCCGGCACCGGGTTGCGCTGCCCGGGCTCCCCCGTTCGCGGGACGGGGCGACCCGATGGGGCACGCCCGGGCCGGGCATCCCCCGCTGCACCCGCGGGGGAACGGGGCTGGCGGGGGAGCCGAAAACCTGCCGGAGGAGCGGCGAGGGGAACCGGGCAGGACGGCAGCGGAGTCCCGGGGTGCCCGGCAGGGGTGAGGGGGGGTCTAAACCGGGTTTCCCCCCGGCCATCCCGGCACCGGGAGCTCCGACCGCTGCTCCCCGAACAGGGGGGGCCCTTCTCCGCCAGCCGGGCCGGCTCCCGGCGCCTCCCCGGGCCGGGCGCGGAGCTCCGGGGCCTCGGTCGGGGCAGCCCCGCGCTCGGCGGCGCTTTATTTTCTTTTTCCCCGAATCCAACAAAATAAAACCACGAACCCCTCAGACGGGGCCTGACCCCCCCTTTGCCCCTTCCCCGCGGAACCCCTTTCTGCTTTTAACCCTTTTTTTAGCTCATTTCCCCCTTCCCCCTCCGATTTTTCAGCCTTCCTCGGGGGCTAGGATTGGTTTTGGTTTTGCTTTGGGGGTTTTTTTGTGGGGATTTGGGGGGGGCGGGGGCGTAGGGCAGGTTGGGTTCGATCTAGGTTAATTTTAGCTTAAAATCCTCTGGCCCTGCCCTAGGTCGTAGCCCTCGGAGATGTTCCCGATGGGACCGTGGTCACGGTGATGGCGGGGAACGACGAAAATTACTCGGCGGAGCTGCGCAACGCCTCCGCCGTGATGAAAAACCAAGTAGCAAGATTTAACGACCTCAGATTTGTTGGGAGAAGCGGCAGGGGTAGGTACCGGCCAGGAAATGGTTGGCCTTTTTATTTGGCTTTTCAGAGGGGAAAAAAAAAAAAAAGAAAAAAGAAAAAATGTTGCCTTTTTTTTTTTTTTTTGCTATTTTATTTTATTATTTTTATTTTATTTTAAGTTTTTATTTTATACGTTTATTTTATGATTTCATTTTATTCTGTATTCTAGTTTGGTTTTAACGGTGGTTTCGTTGGCGCGGGCCAGGCAGGAGAATCCCCTCAGCCCCAGAGTGGTTCCCGAGCGATGGGAGGGATGCAGGAAGGATGAGGGAGGGATGCGGGAGCAGCCCCAGCCCCGCCGGCAGTTCTGCTTCACTCCTCCCCGGGGTCGGCTATGGGCGATGCGAGGGCGAAAAAAATTTTAAATACACATCTAAATATACATAAATATTAGTAAATAAATACATAAATAGAACCAAGGCAGCCCGAGCCCAAATCCTCCCCGGTTTCTCTCATCAGCAGGGTGCAGGAGGCAGCGCTGTGTGCTCGGTGCCTCCCCTCCACAGCGAAATGTGCTCAGGGGCAAAACCCACCTGGCGGCTCGTTTTTAAATAGTGAAAATCAAGTGTTTAAAAATAACCCAGAGCTCGGCCTGCCGGGCTGGCAGCGGGTGAGGGTACAGCAGGCTCTGCTCCGCGGGGAGCTGGGGTTGCTCTGGGGGGGTTTTTTTGCACACTTTCTCTGCGCTCCTCGCGTGGAAAAGCGAGACAGGAATTTAGCTTTCTGGGTTTTTCAAAACGAATCAGGCTGTGCCACTGCAGCAGAGGGAAATAAATCCCCTGGAAATATTAAACACAGAGCCCTCCTTCCGTGCATCCCTCCCTGTACCTGAATTTCAGAGGGTGTAAATAGAATTTCAGCATTTCATCACCAATAAATGCTGCAGACTGAGGCACTTAATTCTTCATTTAAACCAAAATAAGAACACTATATTTTAATGGCCATATGGCAGCATTTTCTCAAAGGCTTCAAATGTATACACACAGTGTCAGATATATTTTGACTTCTTTGCATTAATTAAAAGCAGTGATGTTAGGAATTATTTGCATGTAATAGCTGTTTACTTGTTCCTCTTTATGAAACTTGAATAGTTTACATTCTTTCATACATTTCCTTTTTCCTGTTGGCTCCTTCTCCATGTTGCAGTTTCTTTAAAACTCTCCACTTAACTGGTTGCAGGTTGATGGATGGAAAATGTTTTTCTTTTATGAATTAAGCTTTCATTTCTGTAATCAATTATTCTCTTAGGCTCTTTTCTTTCTGGTTGGTTTTTTTTTTTTTTCATCCCTGCACAAATTTCCAAACTGAATGCAACCCAATCTCAGCTTGACTCTTGAATTCATTATTAACTTGCTTCCTCTGCACTCCCAAGCTCTGAATTAACAGTAGTTTAGTCTCAGAAAGCCCTTGGGTGAATAATCTCCTTCCTCGGGCAGAGTCCTGACAAACGCTCATTACAGCAGTGGAAACACCTCCGCTGCCTCTAACGGGTGGAACTCAAGTGCTTATTATTTTAATTTTTTTTGTTGTTTTGTTTTTACATATTCTTGTGGGATGAGGCTTTGTAATATTCACAGAGAAACAATCCCATCAGGGCTCCCTGGGGCTGGTGTGAAGGCGGCACAGTGGGGTTTTCTCCCAGCGTGGAGCATGGATTTAGTTCCCCGTGTCCAGCCGTGCTTTCCCGGCACGGGGCTCTCTCAAACCAACTTAGTGTGGAAAAATCGTTCCTACTGAATTTTTATTCCGGGTGTCACACTCTCCTTCCCTTGCTCGGCTCAGCCTCTGACAGCCCGGTGCTGGTTTCCTTTATTCTGGCAGAAATCTGGATTCACCACAGAATATTTTGCTGCAGCGGGGCTGCGTGTGTGTACAAACGTTTGTGGAAATCCAAAGGGAGGACGTGTGCACCCATAAACACCCCCCATCCAGCCTGTCCGTGTGCCTGAGCTGCAGGAGCCTGGAAAACCAGCAGCAGCCAAGCTCTTGTTTTGAAAACATAGCTTGAAATGGTTCAGAATTGGGTATTTTTAGTGTTAACGTGTCTGGGATTATTCCCCGATGCTGTGAGCTGGGAAGAGCCAGTCCTAACCCCTCCAGAAAAACCCAAATTCCCATCTCCATGACAAAGTGGGGAGAATGACCAGTTTACCAGATTTTATGCTTTGCTCTAAAAAAAGTAAATCAGCCCTTTTCTGCTCAGACTGTATAAAATGAAAGCTGAGGCCGGCGTGGTGCTGCGAGCCCTGTGCACCCTGCGCCTGCTCTCCCTGCTGGAATATCCCCCCGGAGCATCCCACGGAGCTGTGAGTGCTCCCAAACCCACCCAGGAGCTGGGATCCAGCCTTAGCCAACAAAGCAGGGGCACGGTGGGAACGAGCAACCTCAGCCCGGCTTCCTGAGAAGGCGGGAAATGAGTAAAAATGATGCTAAGTAATAATTGTCGTTTTCGATTCACGGGCGGATTTTTGAGAGCTGGTGAAGAGATGCGAGACTGGCTCTGGCTGGCTCCGTGCTCCTTCCTCCCTGAAAGGCAGGGAGGTTATTTCACATGGAGAATAAAAAAATTTGAAATTATAATAATAATAATAATAAATAAAATAAGCCAGCTGTGGTAGGGAGCTGGGCACAGAGCTGCCGGGCTCAGCTCTGGGGTGTTTCGCGTCTCACCGGCTGGATTTGCCCACACGCTGCCTGCAAACCCTTCCCTGTCCTCCCGCAGAATTTCCCAAATGATTCCTCCTGGTGCTCCTCATCCTGCACTCTGGTTCTGCAGATGCTTTGCCGAGAAATCCCCCGGTGCTGGTTGTTTTTGCCGTGGCCGTGCAGGCGCCGGGAGGCTCCGAGCTCCGCAGGCTGCGGCGGCTCGGCTCGTCCGCGCAGGTTGGCAGCACGACTGTATCCCTGGGGATTAAAATTATATCATTATACGTATTTTTTTTTTAATTTTTATTTTTTTTTTTAACCCTCCCAAATGCTTCTTTTGGTGCAGAAAATGAGCTGAAGGTTTGTGCGTTGTTTAGTGCTGGTTTGAAAGCCGAGGTGAGGTGTGGATTCGTGCTTGCTGTCGGCTTTTAAGCCGGCATTCCCTCCACTTCCATGCTCCCATAGAGGAGCTCTCCCACCTGGGAGAATTGCAGGATGTTCTCCAGGGGAGATAACTGCATTTTTTCAGTTTACTCCTTTTTTTTCCTTTTTTCCTTCTAGCTGTATAAATGCTGTTTTGTTTGGTTAGGGGTATTCTTGGGTTCAGCTCTGTAGATAGGCGATGGTCAGGATCTGAAAACCCCTGATCCTTTTAGGGGAAAAGGGAAAGGAGATGGCTTCCTACTGTATTTATTTGTGGAATGAAGGCTGGAGGAGCAGAAATCCATTGCATGGAGGTTTATGTCTTATACCCTGCTGGGGTTTAGGCTTCTAAAATACCTGATACTTTTGAAATGCCACAGGGATTGCTCTTGGGGTGTTGTTTAGAGTCGTTTGTGCAGCCTCCCTGCTTTACCCCAGTGATTCCTGAATCTGGGGAGGTTGCAGGAGAGCAGAGGCCCTTCCTGCAGAGAACTCTGCTCTCCCACAGCCTCCCCACGGGCTGGATATGGAGTGGGAGACAGCACCACAGTCAGGCAAGGAGAGGACAGAGGGGCTGGGATGAGGATGCCAAAGCTGTGGGAGATGAAGGGTTTGGGGTCAGGGTGGGCCCAGGGTGCAGGTGTGATAACACCCTCCCTGATGCTAAAGGTGTTTTCAGGCTGTGGATGGAACCTTGTTCTGCTGGGGCAAGGGGGGCACTTGTTTTCTTGGCTCCCAGGAGCTTTTCACTCAGGTTCCTGCTGGGAGAGGAGGACAGTCCCCACAGCCAGCAGGGCTGCCTGTCTAGTGGCCAAAGCTGGTGGCCAAAGCTGGCCAGATTCAGTTCTCATTTTGCAGTTTCCTATTTTTGGGCCATTTTCGGGCCACGGGTGTCCATATGGCCGAGGTCTAGCTCAGCTCCCCTCCAAACCTCCCTGCAGAGGTACATCCACAGGGCCAAGGCCGTGGATTCCCCTGCAGACCTGCAGACTGATGCCACCTCACCAGCTTGTTCTGGCAGGAGCACCCCATGGATACCAGGATCCCTTCACGGAGGGGATCCTACATCCAGTGCTGCATTTCAGGGCCAGATTCCCACAGGAAAAGGGGAAGCATCTGAGCGGGAAAGCACCAGGAAGCTGCTGTGGGTGGAGGGGTCGATATGGGGACAGGGCAGGGGAGGTGGGGACAAGTGACTTTTCCATCCAGGAAGGTCCTGGCTCCCGCTCTGAACCGGGTCCAAGCCTCTCCCTGCTGCAGCCAGCTGAGCCCCAGTGGGAGCCGGCCGAGCTTTGTGCCTCGGCAATAACGTCTCATAAAATTAAATGATGTGTGTGTTGGAGTTCCGTGGATGTGGATATTTGTATCTGAGCCTGCTCTGGCAGGAGCCTTTCTTTCCCCCCTGAGCTGAACCCACCCATGTGAATATCCTCATTTCTCCTGTTGTTTTGTTTTGTTTTTTTTTCCTCCCCGCTACCCTCCTTAGGAAAAAGCTTCACCCTGACCATCACCGTGTTCACCAACCCCACCCAAGTCGCCACCTATCACCGAGCCATCAAAGTGACCGTAGATGGACCCCGGGAGCCACGAAGTAAGTGATGTGTTTTGTTTGGCAGCACTGAGGAGCGTGGGGAGGGGGGATGCAGGGGGCCGAGCGCTCCGTGGCCAAAGGATGCAGGACACAGAGCCAGCTGGGGCAGCACATGTAGCCAAGGAGAGGGTTGGTGTGGCCAAGGCAGCCCAAAGCAGCGGGCACGGCTTGGCTCCTTGGACTTTCTCGGCACCGCAGAGCGTGGTGTGTGTCCTTCCCTGCCTCTCGCTCTCTCTGCCCTCCATATCCCATCTGGGAGGGATGGTTTTACAGCTCCTCACTGTGCTCCATAACCCATTCGGAGGGATAGTTTTACAGCCCCAGGTTGGGATGTTGGGGAAATGCTCTGAGCTCCGACGGCAAAAACACAAAAGGCTCCGACCTGGCGCCGCCCAGGGTGTGCTGGGGGGCGGTTGTGGAGCCAGAGGTGCCTTGCTCGGCTTCATTGGCTGATTGCTGCTTTTTAAACTAAAAATGGTCGCAGGTTCCCTCCGTGCTGAGCTCGTATTTGCCTGTCTGTCGGAGAGCACCTTCCCCTTTGGTTGGTGGTGGTTTCGCTTTCGGGCCGTCAAAGGCTGGGGCTGGCAGCGCCGGCGGCCGGGGGCTGAGCTGCTGGAGAAAACCAAAGGCACGGTGCGACCGCAGAAGCGTCTGTGTTCTGGTGGAGGAGGCTCTCCCGGGTGCAGGATGGTGCCTCGTGGTTGAGGGAGGCTCTGTGAGTCGCCCTCGCTGGGTTGGTTTTCGGCGTCGGGCTGGTTTGAGCTCACCTTGGCCTTTCCAGCGATCCCAGGAGTGCGGGGAAACGCTCTGGAGCTGTTGGCTGGAGGAGTTTCCTCTTGCCATGAGTATTATTTGCTCTGTGGGACCCCCTGCGTGGTGGGATCTTGTCCCTGGGGGCTTCATCTCTGGCTTTAGGCTCTGGCTTTGCCTTCCTGCTGGCTCAGCACCACCCCAGGGACTATAAAGCTGAGTTTGTTCCCTTTGCGTGTGAAGCTGTCAGTGCCCACATTGAAGGGAAACGGTTTGATCCTTCTAAATATGCCTCAGAAAATATTTTCTGTTGATGCTGTCGTTGGGCCATCAGTGCCCCTTGATGTCAGGCCAGGTGGAGGCTGTTACCTCGGCGAGGGGGTTTGATTTGCATCGGGGTTTGTTGGGTTTTCTTCCCCCTTCATTTTTATTTCGGAGCGTGAGTGGCTTTATGGGAGCCTGTCGAGCTGCTGGCTGGATTTACCAAGCTGGAATTCAGTTGTGGGTTTGTTTTTTTTTAAGCCAGAAACACAAGGCAGGTCCCTGGTGTGGGTTTGCAGCCATCAGCACCCGTGGGTCGTGGTGGGTTGAGCCTGGGCTCAGCCCGGGGCTGGGAGGGGAAAGCAGGCAGGGGCTGGGCAGGGAATTTCACAACTATTCCAGGTCAGGAATAGAAACCAGGTCTCCTGACTCCTGGCTCAGCCCCTTATCAGCTGCATCAGATCGCCTTTCTAATAATAATAATAATCATCATCAGGAATACATAAATAATAATACAAGGTGAGATAGTTACTACTCTTAGCGTTTGGTTTGACTTCACCGATAGCCAGCGCTCGCCAAACCCCTGTGAATCACACCCGCTCCTCCTGGATTTCAACATCCCTCCCCAGAGCTCCCCAGCTTTAATTTAAATTTTCTGATATGGAGGGGGAGGCTCCGTGGCCGGGCAGGGAGCTGGGGGGGGCCGAGCCGACGGCACATTCACCCTGTGCTTCTTTGTCCTGGGGCCGTGCCTTTGTCTGGCAGAATTAGGCAAAAGCCGAGGATGGAGCGGCTTGTCCTGGCTCTGGCTCGGTGTGCCCGAGGGATGCCTTCCCTGGGACCCGGCCCGGGTGCAAGGTCAGCAGTTTTTTGCTTTTTATTTATTTATTTATTTATTTATTTAAAATGACTTGTGGACCTCAAAACGTGCTGGCAGTGCCGGCTCCTTGAGGAGATCTGCGTGGTGTTTATTTGCTGCTTATGCCCTTGCCTTGTGTGGACCCCAAAGGTTGATCTCTCCCCCATCCCTGCACCACCCTCCCAGCCCATAAATTGCTGATTGAAGAAGTTTAGACTCAAACTGTGGTTTTTTTGGAATTTGTTTCAGATGATCATAGATTTGTTGCCAGTAAAGGTCATATTTTGACTCCCAGTTTGACCTGGGGCTTAAATTCATCATTGATGAAAATCCAGTGTCTTGCACTGGAATAAAAAATAATAATAAAAATCTCTTTTTTTTTTTTTTTTTTTTTGACCAACCTTCGGTTTGCAGTTTCTGATGAACACGAAATTTAAAAAAAAAAAAATATTTAAATAATGCCCCTTGCCCTTCCCTCCCTGCAGTCCTGTGCAGGAACCCTTGCTGTGGAAATTACCAGCTCTGTGAAATGATCCAGGCTCACTCCTGGAAAGCCAGCGTGGTTTTCCTGGTTCACCTGCCACTGGGTGGCTCTCTGGCACAGCACCCCTGTGTGCCAGCACCCACCTGGCTCCCCAGGTGGCATTTGGAGGTGGTACAGCCCTGGTAATCCCCACCTTTGGCCAAACACCATGGCTTGTGCCGCTCTCTCCCTTGTTTGTCTCTGCGAGGAGAGAGCTGGCAGAAGGAATTGCAAACTTTATGTGTGTGTATATATTATACATACACTTTGTAACATACATACGTGCGTAGATATATTTTTATATGCGTGTGTGTGCAAAAAAAAGTCGGGTTTTTCTCCCTTTCTTGGCTGCAAGCAAGTGGGACGTGGTGTGTGTTGGCTCCTGTCGTGCAGGATCAGCGCTGGCCGGGGCTGGAGGCTGGATGTGGGGCTGGTGGGGCAGGCAAAAAAGCACCCTTAATGTGGAAAGAATTGGCCATTTGTCTTGGTATCCTGGGAAAGCCCTGGGCATCATCTCCTCAGATGCAGTGAAATTCCTCCAGCAAACGTTCTCGTGGGGTTTTCTGGGCCAGGAACGCGGCTGAGCTCCACGCCCCAGCTCCGAGCATCCCATTCATCTTCCACCCCTGTCCCATCGCTTCATCTCAGCCCTTGAGCGAGTCTTTTAACTCAAGCCGTGCCCAGAAAAACTTCTGAGGAGTTTGGAATGGGGTTGAGATGGGTGAGAAACAGCAGGGGAGCGGGTGACAGGCAGGGCCCAGCACGGGGCCGGGGGTGAAGCTGGGATGGAGGGACTAGGAGAGCTGGACCCTGGAGTTGAAGATGCTCCTTTGAGGGTTCCACAGCCAGTGTGGAGCTGATAACAGTGGTGGCTTTGGCTGAGCATCCCCTCCAAGGTCTCCCACAGTCTCCTTCCGAGTGCCCTGCTCGCTCTGAGATCTTTCTTCCCTGCGCTCAGGCTCTTTCTGGGTTAGATCTGGAGGGGAAAAAAGGACATTCTGTCAAGTTGGCACCTTAGCTCTAAACAAATAGCACAGCGGGTGCCAAGTGTTGACATACTTTGTACAAACAGGAAGTAATAAAATATTTGAACTTCCTGTGGAATTTCCTTCTTTCCCCCCCCCCCCCTGCAGCTCTGTGTTTAGCAAGAGCCCGGCTCTGGAGAGCTACAGCCCTGGTGCAAAGCCCTGTCGCATCCACAGCTGCTTGCAAAATAATCCACAACAGGCAGAACATGGAAAAATGAATAGCTGGAAGCTATACAGGGATGTTTAGTCTGTTCCTGGGTAAACGGGAGCATCTCCAGGGCCTCCCCCATCACACCCACCTGCTGGCTGCCTTCCCTTTCCCTTCCCTTTTCCTTGCTTTCCTTCCCACTGCTCTCACCTCCTCTGCTGTCACTTATCCTCTGCTCTTCCCAGCTATCCCTTGCAGCTCCAGCCCCTTTTCTGCCCATCTCCTGAGAACTCTTGTGCAAAGTCTTTTTTCCCCTCTAAATGCTTTTTCCCCCCTTTGATTTTTTTTTTTTCCTGCTGCCATTCAGTGTTCTTTAACCTCTCTCCCCCTTTCCTAAATCTCCTTTGCCCTTAACCCCTTCTTTCTGGTTTCCACCCCATCCCTGCTGTCCTGGTCACCGTGTTGAGGAGCAGAGGGAGACCAAGAGGATTTGATCCCCCACAGGATCCCTGTGTCCCTCCTTGTTGCCTGCTCAGCCACAGCAGCACAGCAGCAGGTTCTTGGTGTCTCCTGCCCTGTTCATTTTTGGTGTGTGCGTCAGAGATTTGGTGCTTTCAGTCACGTCCCCGCTTGGTGCCACCACAAAAAGTGACAGGAACGTGTCCCCATCCTGCAGCATCTGCTGGCTTGGACCAGGAGAAGGGAGCTTGTGGCGAGAGCACTTCATATCCCCTCTCCCACCACGTTGTCCCTGCAGGGATTTTCTGGCTGGGCCCCATCCTGACCCTCTGGGGTCGCTTTTCCCTCCCCAAAGGCTTCTTGCCCCAAAAGGCTCCGGCTGTCCCCGAGCTCCCGCCGTCCCCTCGCACGGCACGTAGCCAGGGGGTGGAAAGGCTTCTCACCTCCCACACCAATGAGTTGTTTCCAGGAACAGCCTTTTTTTTTTTTTTTTTTTTTTTTTGGCTTTCATACTTCTGAGAGCCTCAGCTGGGTGAGGGTTTCCCTCCCTGCCTCCCACGAGAGACGTCACCCCCGAGCCCCAGCCTGGCCCCACGCTCTGAGCTGGGAAATGAAGAGTTTGGGACGTGCAGAGGGTGGAAAGCCCCTTGTGTGAGGTGTTTGTGGCATCTGTGTCCCCGGGGTGCTGGCAGTCGGTGGGCACAAGGCCGTGTCTTGGGTGCTGGTTTCCCTTAAGCACCCCATGCACTGGGCACTCTTGGCCTCAAGCATGTAAAAAAAAAAAAGCAAAAAACTGGGAGAAAGATTGACTGGAAAGGGAAAATTCTTGTCTGTAAATCCAGCCTGGAGAGGGCTTGGCCTCTGTTAATGGCAGTGTGCCGGGGTGACTGTGGGAGGAAGGTGCCTGTGGCCCTGGGTGCCCCCAGCCCTGTGCTGGGACATCTCTTCCAGCAGTGTTGGCTGATTGGGAGC